ACACCCAACTAACTATTTAAGTTGATTTGTATACAAAGCAGAGCTTGCAACACGATAGCTATAGAGGGTGTTTTTTTACTTTTCATATAATACAGTAGTCGCACAATGGCAGTTCATATTTGTCTCAGTGAATCATTAATTTTTGACAGACACCTGTACAATATACTTGGACAAAAGCCAGCTAAGATTTTCTGTTATCTTGCATGTTTTATGAATCTATTCACGTCTAAATGCAGCACTTTTTTTAAAATAATTAAACAAATAAGGCACCAGTGTTTTTGTAAGATATATACATCTTTTAAGGACATTCGGTAGACTGATTCCCCACTGTTGTTTCAACCCCGAAACTTGTTTGTATTCAAAATTAATTATGACAATGCATATTTATATTGAAAAAACTATGATATAGGGAATTGTATAACAAAGGGCAAGTTCACCAGAGTTCAACTATGTTGTTTTTATGGTTTAATGAAGGGCGCCCTCTAACATGAAGTATTAATAGTTTTATTTCTATTTGTTTATCTAGTGAAAGCAAAGTTGATTATTAAATCACACACTTAATTTCAATTTGAGAATTAATGCTGAGAGGCAGTGTTTATTAAAATTATATTTTGACCAGCTTGCTGCTTTTTTCAACTTGTTTGCACCATCCCAGCTTACATGTGCGGGTACCTTTAGTTACATTTATTGACTTCTGTATGCAAAGCATACAATGGCAGTCTTTACAGTTAGAGTATTTGTATGTGTGCCTGTGTGGTATTCGATTGGATCTGGGATTGAATCCATGCATATTAATTACCTAATTTGCATGATAATTGGCTATTTTTTTGTTCTACAACTTTTCTCACATTACAATGTAACATTGTTTGTACATAGACGTCATAGGACAATGCACAGACCTGTTTTGGGTTAATAATACAGTTTTCGGCTTTTCCATCAAAATCTCAATTACTCATCTTTTTCAATGAATCTTGGTACGTAAATACACTAAGACAATGCAACTAATTAGTTTTGGACTTGTAATTTGCATATCGAGTTTTATAAGAATTAATCATCACATTATAATGAAACTTGGCACATATGTAACCTTGAACAATTCACAGACCTAATCAGTTTTGGGGTGAAATCTATGCATAAGTAAGTGCTTAATTTTTGTAATTTTTGGCATTTTCCATCAATTTCTTGAGTTCTAATCACATTTCAATTAAACTCTGTACACTGATGATCTGTGACATATTGCAGACATAATAATTAGTTCAGTTTTCAGCTGTTCCATCAATATCTCAGGTACATATCGTATTTCAATGATCTAGTTAGTTTTTGGTATACATACATTACATAATAATTACCTAATTTGCCTAATACTTTTTAGCTTACATAATTGCTTAATTTGCATAATAATTAATTTCAAAAACCAATTATTGTATTTCAATAAGGTTTTGTATATATTAAAGTGACCAGGAGCAATGCATTAGTTTTGGATTGAAATTGAGCATATTAAAAGCCGAAATTTGCACAATGTGCATAATCATCACATTTCATTGAAATTTGGTTCATAGATGCTCTGGGATAATTAACAGACGTGATTAGTATAACATTGAAAAAACATGCATGCTCATATTGTCTATTGGGTCAAACATCCAGTTAAGCGCCCTCTATAGTTAGCAATGCACACATAGCTCGGACCTAATTTGTTTATTAATAGGCCGCATTTTATCAGGTATATCACATCAAACAATACATTTTATATTTTTTCCATATTTCTCACTATACGAATTATGGTATGTTATAAATAGAAAGATACAAGACCAGATATTCTAGTGCCCAATAAACAGTGGATTTAATTAACGTCCATCTTTCAGTATTATAAATATTTTTCTATATTCTGATATGATTGAACAATACTTTACCAGGACTTTTCATCCAATGGTTTCACCCAATGAAAGGCATTTTATATAATATAATTCAGTACAAAGTATTTTTTATTGACCTGCATACCAAAGTGGATACTGTAATAAAACGCGTAATATTAAGACATTTACTACAATATTCGGTATAATCATTAAATTGAAATAGTTTCTGAATTCCTGATGCGATTAAAAGACTGATACTATCAGTTAATTACGTCATCGATGCTAATCAGCTAGCCGACACTGTTTACAGATTGGAAAACACAAAGTATTGAATGTATGTATGTTTTTATGCCATATTGTTAGCGAAGGTCGACTATATTTGTCAAATACATTGCAACTGTCGAGTACAATATCGATGTTAATAGGTTAGTGGTAATCATTCGTGGAGACCTTCACTATGTTAAACGTAAACATCAAGTTCAGTACACTTTGGCTTAAAGTTGACCTTGTTATTAAATAGACATGCGCAGGAAAAGCTTTCGAACATTTGGAGAATATGAACAAAATATGAGATTGATGACACGATAATGGATACTTTGGTTTCAAGCTGTCAGATTCGGTCGCCATCCAGCTTTAGATAGAGCCTAATTAATAATCAGCAATTGTAAATGAGTACATGCAGTCAACACAAATTCTCGAAATTTAAGTTTCCACGAATATTCTTAGTTATAATCTACGTATCTCCTATTAATATTTATTTTTTACACCATTACAAATGTTAGAGTGACTAATTTTCTCCGACCATTTGAAAATTGTGAATACACACGCCGCTGGAAATCTATATTAGTAGGCAATTGTAGGTGAAATGTACGTGACAATATCAATCGATATCAAATTATAAGTAACATTGCTTGCCATGAATAATTTAACAGCTCGTAAAGGCCAGACTTTTCGCGAAACAATCCAGGAATGTCCCAAGCGTACAGCAAGACATATTCACATCATAAAAAAAACACTACCATACTCCGACAGGGGCATGCCCTCTATAACAAAATCCAATTAAAGAAGCTTTTAAATTCGAAATTCTCTATCCTCGCTCATGAATATAAAAGCTGCTACCCGGATTGCTTACCCATAACTATGATCAAATGCTGCAAACATTTCATGTGTAATTATGGCTAGTCTGACAAATATTCTTCCATAATCTGTGCATTATAAAAACGATATGTATATTTAATTAACAATGAACGGAATCTTATGAGGTTTTACACGTACGTCGATCTAGTTAATGTGCTAATAGGTTTGCTCCAGGAAATCTTGGACGTTGCATTACGAATATATCGAGAGTCTAAATTTCTTTGCCTCGCGTTATCCTGAGGGGGCAATTATACAAGTGAAATTGCTTTGGTGAAATCGGAGATCTCTGCATACAAATACGTTCAATTTTCAAACATAATTAAATATGGTGCTAATCGAGTATGGGTAAGTAGTGATGTGACGAACGAATTCAACAATAGTTCAGTATCATGTGAGCCCTAAAACTGATCATAAGTGTTCTGGAGTTAACCACACTGTTTCAAAATAGATCTTCGACTTTTTTTTTTTTTGGTTCTTCAGGTTCAAGTTTTTGTTTTGATCATTTTGATATTCTCCGTCCATCTTAAAAGTGTACAAAAGAAGCAGCTACTTTCTAATTAAGTCATTAAGTCAATGT